TTTTTTTTAAATTAAATGAGGGTTTTTTTGAATTAAAATTATTTTTTTTTTTTTTAAATTAAAATGAGGGTTTTTTGGAATTAAAATGAAAATTTTTGGAATTAAAATGAAAAGTTTAAATTAAGTTTTTTTGAATTAAAATGAAAAGTTTTTAAATTAATTTTTTTGAATTAAAATGGAAATTTTTGAATTAAAATGAAAATTTTTTGAATTAAATTTTTTTGAATTAAAATGAAAAGTTTTTAAATTAAATTTTTTTGAATTAAAATGGAAATTTTTGGAATTAAAATGAAAATTTTTGGAATTAAAATGTAAATTTTTCTGAATTAAAATGAAAATTTTTGGAATTAAAATGAAAAGTTTTTGAATTAAAATGAAAAGTTTTTAAATTAAATTTTTTTTTAATTAAAATGGAAATTTTTGGAATTAAAATGAAAATTTTTTCAATTAAAATTTTTTAAATTAAATTTTTTTAAATTAAAATGAAAGCTTTTTAAATGAAAATTTTTTAAATTAAAATGAAAATTTTTTAAATGAAAATTTTTTAAATTAAAATGAAAACTTTTTAAATGAAAATTTTTTAAATGAAAACGAAAGTTTTTTAAATGAAAATCTTTAAAATTAAAATGAAAATTTCTTAAATGAAAATCTTTTAAATTAAAACGAATATTTTTTAAATTGAAATTCTTTAGTTGACACTAAAATGTTCAAATTAAAATTAAAAATTTTTCAGTTAAAATTAAATTTCTTTAAATTAAAATAGAAGTTTTTAAATTAAAATTTAATTTAAAAATATGAACTTTTATTTTTAAATTTTAAGTTTTTAAGTTAAAATTTAAACTTTTAAATTAAGGTTTTTAAGTTAGAATTCGAGTTTTTAAATTAGAATTTTTAAGTTAAAATTTAAACTTTTAAATTAAAATTTTTGAGTTATAATTAAAGTTTTCAAGTTAAAATTTAAATATTTAAATTAAAATTTTTGGGCTATAATTGAAGTTTTTAAGTCAAAATTAAAGTATTTAAATTAAAACTTTTAAGTTAAAATTAAGCTTCTCAAATTAGAATTTTTAAGTTAAACTCCAGATTTTTAAGTTAAAATTAAAAATTCTTAAATTAAAATTAAAATTTACAAAACTCCCTGGAATCTCCCCAAAATC